GATGCTGGTTAGGTTGCCGAGCTCAGGAGGGAGTGGGCCGGAGAGGGCGTTGTTGGAGAGGTATAACTTGGTGAGCTTGGTCAGGCTGCCGAGCTCAAGAGGAATCGGACCAGAGAGGTTGTTGTTGGAGAATTCCATATAGTCGAGGCTGGTCAATCTGCCGAGCTCAGGAGGAATGGAACCAGAGAGATTGTTGGTACTGAGTTCAAGTTCGTAGAGATTGGTCTATTGGTCAGGCTGCCGAGTTGGGGGGGAATTGAACCGGAGAGTCTATTGGAATAAAGATAAAGGTTCGTTAATTTGGTCGGGCGGCCGAGTTCAGGGGGGATGGGGCCGGAGAGCCTATTGAAAGAGAGATAAAGGATCGTGAGGTTGGTCAGGCTGCCGAGTTCAGGGGGGATGGGGCCGGAGAGGGTGTTGTTAACAAGGGAGAGCAAAGTAAGTTTGGTCAGGTTTCCGAGCTGGGGGGGAATGGAACTAGAGAGGATGTTGTAGAAGAGTCGAAAGTCGACGAGGTTGGTCAGGCTGCCGAGCTGGGGAGGAATCGAACCGGAGAGTCTATTGAAAGAAAGATCAAGCTTCGTGAGGTTGGTCAGGCTGCCGAGTTGGGGGGGAATCGAACCGAAGAGTCTATTGGAATAAAGATAGAGGTCTGTGAGGTTGGTCAGGCGGCCAAGTTCAGGGGGAATGGGGCCGGAGAGGTTGTTTGAAAAAAGACCGAGCCAAGTAAGCTTGGTCAGGTTGCAGAGCTCGGGGGGTATGGGACCTGACAATGCGTTGTTGTTGAGACCGAGACCGGTGAGGTCGGTCAGGCTGCCGAGCTCGGGGGGAATGGGACCTGACAATGCGTTGCCGCCGAGACTGAGCGTGGTGAGCTTGGTTAGGCTGCCGAGCTCAGGGGGGATGGGGCCCGAGAACCTATTCGAACCAAAACGGATGTAGGTGAGCTTGGTCAGGTTGCTGAGCCCCGGGGGAATGGGGCCGGACAACTTATTACCGAAGAGGTCAAGCACGATGAGGTTGGTCAAGCTGCTGAGCTCGGGGGGGATGGGGCCCGAGAGTTCATTGACAGACAGACCGAGGTAGGTGAGCTTGGTCAGGTTGCCG